TGGGACTTTGATGAGCAGATTTTGTACTACATGGACGAATGGCTTGATTTCTTTCAGCACGGCAAGCCTCTTGATTTCTACTCCATGTTCAAGGACGTTGATGCCGTTGTAGATCTACCAAGCAGTTTCTTCTTTGAAGAAATCATGGAAGCTTTTCCTGATGCCAAAGTAATTCTCTCAGAACGAGACGAAGAATCCTGGGCAAAAAGTTTGAAGAACCAGTATGACATGTTAGAAAAATCATATAAGAAAAAAATTCGAATCTTCTTCCCACAGTTCAGGAGATTTTTAGGGATTTTGCTCAACTACAGAATGGCGGCGTTAGGAGTAGTCTGGGCGACGTGTCCACATATCTATCGTAAACGATACCGCTGGCACAATGACCGAGTCAAGTCCGTTGTTCCAAAGGAAAAGTTGCTTTTGTACAGAGTCGAGCATGGATGGAAGCCATTGTGTGAATTCACWGGGAAAACGATTCCAGATCAGCCATTTCCTTATCTAAATGTCAAAGGACAAATCATTAAAAGTTTTCTGACCGACACAGAGTTGGGAAGAAGAATTGATCGCGAGGTTAAAGCGGTCACTTGGTGCTCTGTTATCTTGGTGGCGTTGATTGGGACATTTTTAGCAATTTTGTATCATAACTGAGCTATGTAAAGCTATTGTAAAACTATGCAGACACAGTTTTTACAGTTTGTGTTTTTATATAATGATTATAGATGCATATTAATGTGTAAAAATGTGTAAAACATACTCTACCAATGGTGACAATTTATTATCATATTATGACACAAGCTACTTAATTCAGTGAAAATACTTTGTTAAGATGCTAGCTGACGACTAAAAATAGTAGAGTACAAACATTAAATGTGTGCACCACTTTCCACTATTTACTACAAAATAGTGTTAATTAAAGACGTTAAACAATAGAAAACAATAGAATAGCATAATTCAGCAGTATTTTATGTTGCACAGTTTTAGTGTTTGTAGCTAATACGAAAAAATTACTTAAACAATTCTTTTGGCGTTTCTAGGCGTCGAAGTCCAAATGGACCAAAAATATCGATTCTTCTTGACTAACGTCAAAGTACTTCAAGGGATCACTGTTGACTTATATAGTTTTACTCTCAAAAAAAAAATGTTTCAATGGCCTCACTAAAATTTAGGCTTTCAAAGCCGGCAAAGTATACGCAATGAATATCGCTAAAATATAAATAAAAACAACTTGTTTGATGAATAATGTATGAGTACTTATCAAGGTTCCTTCACTGTCTTTCCTTGTGACGGGCTTCCATATTCCATATGATTTTTTGATTTTTATTCACAACGACACCTGCATGGCCTATGATTTTGTTTGTTTGTTCGTGATCTCATATTTGGTCACGGATTCCAGGTTTCTTTGAAAGATTTGATCCCTGATCACACAAGATTAAATGATCCTGTTAAGTTATTTTTTTAGAGATGATTTCATCTCTGATGTCACGGTCTCAGAAGCTGTGATCTTCATTCCAAAGGATAGTTATCATTGGAGATTTTTGTTTTAGAGGTATTGGCACAAGCTATTCCTACTTAAGTTCATGTATTGATTTTCAATTAGAGTCAAAATGAGGCATTGTCCCACATTGATGAGCTTCAAACTTAAAATCATTTTTTTCTGTTATTCACCACTTTTTTTTACCTTTGACACTCAGTAGGCTTGAATTCATAAACAATTTTCAATTCAACATTGCACAATATAATTTCGATAGAGTGAACACACTAAATCCGTGAAACAAATAGCACTAATTACTACTAAATAGTGTTGATTAAACAATAGGAAACAAAGGAATTAGCATAATTTAGTTTTTATTAATACTATTTAAGGTTCATGGATTAAGTGCGTTCATTCTAATGATGAATCATTTCAAATTATGTTTATACACGCTGGGTTAATTTAGTTTTCGCATAAGAATACACAAAATCAACCATCTCTGTTTTGAAAAAATTTTCTCACTTTTGGTTAGTAAAATAATAACAAAAGATACCCCGGTCCTCCCCAGGCCCCTCCCCTAAATCCGCCACTGGATACCTATGCTTTCTTAAAAAAATTATTCTCAAAAGAGAGAAATAGTGGTTGTCGAAATGAAAATTATGTCCATCAGGTGTTAAAAACGCTATTTCTGTTGTTTTCTTGGGATAAAAAAAACTATCCCTAACCCACAGGGACATCCTCTGAACAATACCTTTTGCTGTAACGTTTAAGGTAATAAATGCAGACTATTTAATTGCGCAAAATATGTTTATTTAAATTCGCTTAACATATAGTATAGACAGGCATATAGTATACTAATTACATACATAATATTATCATATAATTATATCTGAAATATCTATATTCTCCATTACGTACAGTAGTTATTTGTTGTATGCCTACATATTGGAGGTTAATAAAAGTTGCTTTAAAACATAATTTGCTGTCATTGATAATTGTATGATAAATAAAATATGATATGGTCGTTTGGAGAAACGATTTTTATCTTCTCGTGTTGAAAATCTTCTCTACGATCTCTCTTGAGATATCTTTTCAACTCTCGAAGATTAAATCAGTATCTCCAAGCGACCATGTAATATCCTCTATTTAATTAATCATCAAAAGTTTTTTTCCCACTTGGCCATAGCTTTACTGTGTGCTTCGGCTGCCTCTTTTACAGAAGCCATCAATTCTGGTAAAGCTTGCTCTATTTTCTTTTTCCTTAACAAATAAATCGAAATAAACCAATTAGTTAATTAATGCAATGAAATTTCGCCGATCTAAATGTCTATTTAGGCAACATAAAATCATGAGAATGTGTAATATTCATTCAAAACAGCTGCATCTCCATTACCTTTGACCACGACCCTGTACTTTTTTAGTTTTCTCATCCTCACTAGAGCTTTCATCCCAAGCGTGGTCTTTCTTTCGTGCTTTATTTAGAAACTTCCAATCTCACTCGTTGACGAAAGTGTTGCTGCTGGTGGTATATACCGCTTTCTCCACTGAATTTCCTTCTCATACTCCTTCTCGTCCAACATATCTTCACCGCTATCTATTTCACTTTCATTATCAGTGGAGTGGTATTCTTTGTCAATTTTAGTAGTGCTGGGCTTAGAAGGCGAATTGTTTTTGCTTCGTTCACTAAAAGCAAAGAGATAACAATTTCAATTAACTCATAGCATTTTCGTTTATTCCTGAATCTCACACTATAGTAAAATATCAGGTCGTACTAGTCGTACTCAGGAAAAGAAAGCAAAATAAACCATCAATATAGTCAGCAAAGCTTCCTTACCTCGACGTATTCAAAAGTTTTGAAGCCACTCCCTTTCTTACTCTCTCCTCGGCCGCTTTGCAGGTCTTTTTTGACTCGGTGCTTCGCTTGTAGTATTTTTGAGCATTAGTGGGCAAAATGTCAACATGTTTGACTATGAACTTGACTATTTCTCTGTATTTCCTTTATGGTGGCCATACGCTGTTTCAATGAGAAGGTTTTCAGCTTGAGAAAAGTTCAGTCTTTGGTTTCGCGCCTCTGTTCTTTTTGAACCTCCAGGGAAAGCTGTAGAAACTTTTCCAGTTTAGAGCAGCCTTCAAGAATATATTTGGCTCGTCATCCATGGCGAAGCTGTACGTAGACTGTGCTGGTTGCAGAGCGAATGACTTGTATATACATCAAAAAGTAAGACGATGGAATGGATAAAAAATGTTGTGCTTCGTCATATTCATAAAACATTCATTGTAAGTTTCACATCTAGACTTATGAATCAGCAAAAAAACGAACTGAAAAGGGGCGTGAGTTTAACCAAAGGCTTTGGAAAAGAATGCTTGGTGTGTGATTGTGAGAAAGTTTTTCCAAACAACAACTTGATACACTACATCATGATCACGCGTTTATCAAAAGAACATTTGCATGTTTGTTGTCAACCCAAACACAACCAGAGAAAGGCAACCAGCTATCAAGAGATCACTAATTTTTGTTCAAATAATTCCAAAATTTACAGTGCTTATGCCCAGAAGACAAGTGCTGCCACCTCCTTTTCCTCAATTCCTAGTTCACGCACTTCTTCTAATCATTGAAGTCTTTAGAAAATGGATCAAAGTAATAGGATTACCACCACCATTCCCCGCGTGGATCTCCGGATTTCTACTAGCTATGAATTCGTACTTGTCGACTGTCTATCAAGATCTTATGCAGCTCCTATTTCCATGGTTTAGACCTATAAGGAACCAAGGGCGGGACTATTATTCTATCGTCAGACAGGACCCCCCAAAGTTTTGGTCAATAAGTGGAGAAACTATTGAATTTTTTGAGGACATTGTGCAGACAGTGGGCTAGGAAGTAAGTGCACTAAGATGTGTCTTACGACAGTCTCTGACAAATAGAAGAAGGCGATGCCTTTTGAATATTCATAATAGAATATTGCTCGTTTTGGTATGGCTAAAAACTTACCCAAAATATTCCAAATTAGCCTCGGACTTTTGCATCAGCATAACAACTGTTTTCGAGGAAATTTATCACGTTGTACCCATTTTATTTGTTCAATATCAGGGTTTTGTTTCTTGGCCAAGTATCCGTCAGTGGGCTGGATTTCTGAACACTTGGAGCAAATTCCCTAACATGGTTGGGTTCATTGATGGAACTACACCGCATACGAAGGCCGACTGGACGTTTACAGCGAGAATTTTACAGAAAGGACAAAAAATGTCATTTTATGTCTTCACAAATCGTTATCGATCCAACAGGCCTGACAGTTCTCATAGTATCCGGGTAGGTGTATGTAATAATATGTTGAGAACACGGATTTTCTGAATCAATACTGAACTTGTCATCTGTACCTTTATTCAGGTTTCGAGGTCATCTAAATGATGCGCAAACATATAGAATGATCCCATCTATAGGACCAAATGGCGTTCGTCGATTACCAAGAGAGTGTTGTCTTGGTGCGGACAAAGGATACGCAGCCAGAAGACCGTTAATCAGACCCCGTCGTTCAAGAAACAGACGGACAAAAGATGCCAACCGAGAACTGAACCGGATACGGGCAAAGATCGAAAATTCAATTGGATTTTTCAAAGTTTATAGTGCAGTATCTTCAATTTTTCGACAAAAAAGGCCTTTTTTGCCAATAGTAGTCCAAACTTGTGCGTTTTTGTCAAACAGGAAACGTTTGATGTTAAGAAGGCTGGTGAGGTAAATAGCCTGTATACAGCCAGCTGTCTCTAATCCCATCCACGAATAAAAAATCATAATATCTTATATATTACTTATATATTACTTTTCTTGTCATTCAAAATAGAAAGAAAAAAGAAAAGCCTGAGAAACCTCGATGGCAAAATTTGGTTTCATTTTTGACTCTATACAGTACAAGTACAATCAAGCTGCCAATGGCAACATAACTCGGAGATTGTAATAGCTGCTTTTGCAAGATGGTCAGCTGTATTTTGAGCATTTTATTAACACATTAGATAAGTTATTTACAAAAACATGTAATAGGTGATCATAAAAAAATCATAAAAATAAGATCAGAACAATATTGGGAAAAATGCAATTCAACCGCCCCAATTCAACATTTAAATTGGATTAAAAAAATAGTATTAACTAACAAGATAAGTTATTAGTGAAAAATTTGAGTAGCTAATGTCTTCATGTATTGAAAGAACAAGTGAATTGGTATATCATAACTTTGTTTTGAGCTCCTTTGTTGAAGTATGAAATCCACATTGTTCTTTTGATTATTCTTTATGCTCTTGAYTTGCAGTTTTGCAGAATTATTCCAGTGCTTTTCTTCCAATCACTGTTAAGCGGATTAAGGTTTATTGATAAAAATATAAGCTTATTAGTTCAGAGAGACATCGAAATTTATAAAAGGAAAAGCTTCAGCTTAGTTACATGTAAATTTTAAACAACGGCGACATAAAGTTCGAAGTGTCTGTCTCAACTTACATGCCCGGCTGCYGTGTAAATAGTGGAAGTCAAAATGTCCGTTTGCGAAAAAAAAACAAAACAGAATTACTGAACAAAAGTCCTTGGTTAGCTCTAGCTTAGGTTTAGGGTAAGGTTTGGGTTGGGTTTAGCGATGAAATTAATGATTTAGTCTCGGTACGTAAGCTAATTATTTGAAAACAATGAATACTCACGGGCAGGTTGACACAGCCTAAAAAGTTTGATTTGTAATTCATATGATAAACTTAAGATTTAAGTATGTCATTGCTAAGCTTTGTACATTATTATCTTACCTTGAAGTCTAAAGCGGAATAGAAACCGTCCGCATTTGCTTGAAGTTTATTTATAAGGCCGTGAAAGCTACTTTTAGCAGAGACGCCATGTTGACACGTACTCGAAGCGAAAACCCAGTCAAAACCTATTGCAATCGGTACAATTCTACGTCAAAACAACATAATTTTTACAATTTTTTCTCCTCTTGAATCCAGGTTTTTAAGTTAGTGCGATGGGTCAGTTGTTTTCTGCAAATATCGATTGAATCCAAAACATATAACACAGGAAACCCATCATGGTGAACCTTATTTTTATTTAATACCGATCGCAAAAATTAAAAGATTTTCTTAAAAACAAAACTTTATGCAGAAACATGTTTGTTATTATTAGAAAAAGGAGAAAAAGAAAAGAGAATCTCCAAAACATCAAAAAGAAAAAAATGTCCTGTCTAAAGCCGGACTCGAACAGCGGTGCTCCCTATAAAAGTACTAAAACGCGCCAAGTTTCCTCAAAGTGTCACCGTGGCACAATCGGTTAAGGCGCTTGGCGTTCAATTCAGAGGTCGCGGGTTCGAAACCTGGTGGGAACATGAAATTTATTTCGCAGCTAAAAATATTATAGAAGTTACTATAGTAACCAAATTAAGTGAATATATAAATATTATAAATAATAATTAATCGAAAAGCACAGGGAGACCAAATAGAGGAAGTAAGTAGAATAACATTAATATAATTAATATGATTAAATAAATAACCGCTGACAAAAACATCGCAGGCTCAAGTTTACAGGAAAGTGATCGAGCGAGCGAGCGAGCGAGCGAGCGAGCGAGTGACAGCTGTCCCCATCCCAACAACTCTACGATTGCTGACGCAATCTCCGAGTTAAAAAGAGATAACGCGAGATTTTTTAATGATGAAAAAAAGTTTTTCTCGTTTCATCTGGTCCGTACGGGAAAGTACGGTTCGCTTTTTAGCCAATGAAATCGTGTGTTACATCCTAGCTATTTAACAAATAAATAAGGCTCAGCAGTGGTTTATACTCTGATAACGCACGCTTAGCATTTGAAACACACGAGAAAATGTCAAGAAGCACGAGCTGAAAGAGTATAAACCACGGCTGAGCCTTATTTATTTGTTTTATTATATAGATTTTGAGCAAAACTCAAGCGAAAATCACTGTTTCTTCACAATCGTGGTTTATTATTCGTGACCCGGCCCTTGGCCGGGTCACGAGTCAGAAAATGCAGCGAGTT